CTTCATTTCTATCTATTTTCATCCATTTTTTCAATAAAAAATTGTGAAATAATGAATATATACCCTCATATTTAAATAAAAAAACTAAAGAATTAATTGCCAAAGTCTTAATTTTTATTTTTAAAAAAAGTGCAAACGAGAAAAAATTAATTTTTTTCTTAAAAAGTGCAAACAAATCCTAATTAAATTTATTTAAAAATAAAAATAAAAAAAGTGCAAACGGTCCCAAATAAATTATTAAAGAATTAGAAATTAAAAAATATATTTTTTATTTAAATATGAGGGTATATTCATTATTTCACAATTCTTTATTAAGAAATTAGATGAAAATGGATAGAAAGAATGATTTGCACAATCAAATTTGTAATTAATGGTGAAAATGTCAAAAAAAAGAAAGAAAAGGTATGGACGTTTTTCGCAATAACGGTGAAAGATATAGACATTATATACTAATTATCATTTTAATAATTTATTTGGAACTCATTTGAGCTTTTAAAAAAAAATTGGGACTATAATCGCAATTAATTTTTTATCTTTCTTTTTTATTTATTTAAAGAGAATGATATATTTATCATTTCACAAATTTTAATTGAGAAAATAAGTGAAAATGACATTTTGCACAATGAGATGTGGAAATAAGGGTGAAAATGTCAAAAAAATAAAAGGTATGAACGTTTTCCACAATAACAATAAAAGATGAGGACGTTATGTACTAATTACTCTTTGTCAAAATAAATCATACAATTGAACATGTGTGGTGGCTAAATCATCACGCACTTCAAATCGCCGAAATTAATTATAGATTCATTTGAAAGTATAATACATAGACTTAATTTTCAAGTAAGTTATTGTACTTCAATTTGTGTCAATGGGGTCATTATACTTTTATTTTGTCTCGGCTGAATCACTCTACTTTATGTATGTATCAATTGAATCATAATACTTAATGTCACTCAGTTTAAAAGAATTAATTCAATTTTCTCACAGTGTTTAATGTCATTCACTGATGTGGTCATTAAACTCTAACCCCAATGTAGTTCACTTTACTAAGTTCCTTCACATTGTTTAACGTCACACACTGTCACACTGACATGGCTATGAAATTATAATCGAATAACGTATAATCTTAAATTATTCTTAGTCAAACAAGTCGAACGTGTAAAACAAGATTTCAGATTGTGTCAATTATTCTAAGTCATTTCTTTATGAACACAGATGATGGTTATTAATATATAGCAACCACGTTAAAGTCTGAGAGGAAATAATTTAACGAAATTGCATATAGTAACCTAAATTGGAATAAAATTAAAGTATAATAACTCAATTAAAATAAATTGAAGCAAGAGGCCCAATTGAAAATTTTATCCCAGTATTCTTTTATTATTATTTTTAATTCAATGACTAACAAAAAATATAAATTAATTCTCTAATAAATGACAATTTGCTTATTTGGTGAAGTAGAATACAAAATACTTCATCAATTGTTTAATATATAGAAATAAAAATTACAGGCGAAATAGAAGCATAGTACACAATGAGGGAATCAAATGGATTCATTTATTCACATCAAAAATCTAAAAGATCCAACAAGTGCTGGATTTGAGTTATTTTATGACATACGACCGTAATTTTCTCTGTGGATTGCGATTAAAATAAAAAAGTTGGTAATATGATTACAGGTAGGAAATTGCTCATTAAGTAATGTTATTTAGCCTCAGTAAGATTATAATCACAGTTTATGTGGCTCTAATGTGACATTAAATGATAAGTGGAATTAAATGATTAGTTTAAATTCACCTTTCATTTAACCTCTCATCGAACACCGAGTTACAATCTCAATAGGGCTAAATAGCATGATTCTTGCTTCGTTTGGTAGGATTGGGAAACTTCAATATAACTAAAACTTATAATTGGCGTGAAAATATACCTCGTGACGAAATCCATAAGTATCCACGCACATACTCTTCTTTCACCCGTAGTTGTATATACAACAATTTTTAACTAAAACCCCATGAATCCGATTTTTAGATCGAGTAAAAGAAAGAGAATTTTTTCAATTTGAAGTAAAAAAATAATACAGTACAAAAAAATTAACTCAAAAAAAAAAAAAACTTCTTAATGCAAAAATAAAAATGTATTTTCCATTTTTGGTTTTCTCAATTTATTGGACCCATAAGTTTTAGGCTGAACTTCATAAGCAAACCCCCAAAAAAAAAGGGTACTTACAAAAATACCCTTAAAATTAGGAGTGTTTTGAAAAATCATGTGAAAGATTTTTAGGAAGTAAAAAATACTGTGTAAAATGAAAAAGTGACACAATGTCACTTTTTTTTATAAAAATTGTCACTTTTTTACTTTTTTACTAGTAAAAAAGTGACAAACTAAAAAAAGTGACAAAATTCAAAAAAAGTGACACACACTCTAAAAATTCAAAAAAGTGACAAATACTTAAAAAAATGACAAAACACCAATCAAAACCTATGTTTTTTATTCAAAAAAGTAATAAATTTTTTTAAAAAGTGAAAAGAAATTCAGAAAAGTGACAGAAAAAATGAAACACATAAAAAAGTTACA